CTAAGAGTAAACTGGCGCACAAGGCGCAGAGGTCCTCGACCAATGCCAAACGTGCCCGACTCGATGAGACAATCTCTCCAAGAGGCGAGCACAAGCGGCAGAAAGTTGAAAGGACCGCCCAGACCAAATCATACACCGAAACCCCGAACTCATGGCGGTTACTACCGCGGCCAAAACCGGATTAATATGGGGCACCGATGCCGATGCTATACAGGATGCTATATATGAGCGCCTCGCTTAGGGAGCTGAGGAATGTGGCGAGGATGACGTCGGCCCACAGTTTCGAGGAAATTCCGTCTATAGCGATGGGGCCTTGAAACTGTGGTGCCACGATAAGGCCACTGGAAAGTGGCCAGAGGACGCCGTCAGCATCATCAGGCTGCCGTCCGAGGAGCTCCTCTCATTGAAAAATGGGATGGTGGCTCCCCGAAGGATGGTCTGTGGACTACTAATCCCCGACAAATGAGAGGATGCACGCCGAATCGGTCGCATCCTCAAGTGGCAGAACAAGTGGGCTAGTCCACAAGCCGATTGAGCAACGTAGGTATGCCCCTTCGTGGTGGTGAGCCTCCCCGAAGATCTGGTCCCCACTATCCTGGGGCATGGCCGGCGCTTCACCTTTCAGTTGGGCACGGTCTACCTCAGATTCAGGTCGAGAAGGGGCCTTTACACTGACGCACCATCAGAGAATATGGCGTCAACAATACAGGACACGGGACGAATGGACGTTTTCCCGAAGCCCTCTACCTCCTCTGGCGATAGCCAGTGAAGAAAAAGGACTCTCCCCGACCCCCTACCCTGTGGACACCGACGAATGCCCAGCGGTGTCCATTAGTGACGACGAGTATGTGTTAGGGATGGGAGACATCCGATTGAGCGAGGACGATGACATGGAGCTGCTGTCTGGTGATGACGGTCTCCCCCTCGCTCAATAAACTGCAAGTCGTCCAGAACAACGTCCACCACAGCCAGGTCGCAACGGTTCAGCTCCGGAAGTGGTTGGAGGTAAACAATACAGCCGTGGCGCTGATCCAGGAACCGTGGATCAGTGCCCGCGGTCAAATAAATAGACTCTCACATCTGAAAGGTAAGCTATTATATACCACTAGCTCTGATAAACCACGAACATGCATCTACTACTTTAATAATTTACATGTACAGCCACTAACAGAATTCTGTTCCAGAGACCTGTGTGCCATAAAGCTCCTTGCTGACTCGGCCACGGGCCTGCCTGAAGTGGTGCTCGCCTCTGTCTACGTGGCTGAGGCTGATGTGCCACAACCGCAGGAAATGGTACGGCTAATCAACCACTGCTAGCGCATCGGTCAGCACATCATCGTGGCTACGGACTCCAATGCCCACCATCCTCAGTGGGGCATGGAACTCGCAAATGGCAGAGGTAAAAGCCTAACAGAATACTTAGAATACACTCTGCGATATCACACAAGCTGCACTCCGAATTGTGGAAAGTTGGTGCAGTATCGATAAACTCAACAAAAACAGAACTAGTCATGTTTACAAACTAGAGAATACTGGGCAACTACCTACTACCCAAGCTCTTCTGCACAGAACCAAAATATCGACGGAAGTCAAGTATTTAGGAATAACACTTGACAACAAGCGAAACTGGAACAAGCACTTGGACAACAAAATCAAGAAAGCTACAATCACCTTCTAGAGGTGTTATGGAATGATAGATAAGCAATGGGGACTTTCACCCAAAATAACTCTATGGCTCTACAAAGCGGTGATAAGACGTACAATCAGCTACGGCGCGGTAGTATGGTTGCCACGAACCAAACTGACAACCGCAGCAGACATTCTGGACAAATTCCAAAATCTAGCATGCATGGCGACGACTGGCTACATGAGGACGACTCCGACTGCGGCCCTCGAGGCGATGCTGAACCTGCCCCAAAGAGGTTCGCATCTTTACTGACGGGTTCAAAACAAATGCAGGAACAGGTACTGGGGCATTTTCAGAAGACCTCAATATCAGGATTTCAACACCGCTTGGCAACCATAACACAGTATTCCAGACTGAATGTATGGGTATCAAGTTGGCAGCAGAAGCAATCATAGCTAGAAGAGTACAGAACCACTCAATTCGTATACTTTCCGACAGCATGTCAGTACTTCAAGCACTGGGCAGCTATGACATAACTTCAGGACTTATTCATGAATGTCACCAAGCACTCACGGAGGTATGTACGTACTACTGTGTAACACTACAGTGTATAAAAGGATACAGCGGCTTACGTGGCAATGACGTAGCAGATGAACTGGCCAGAAGAGGATCGGAGATGGACGCTATAGGACCAGAACATGTAGTGTCCCTACCAATGGTCAAGAGCAACTATAAACAAAGGTACAAAAACTATTCATAATAACACCTGACAATCCATACGGTTTGCAGACAGGCTAGGGAAGCACTCCCCTTGCTTAACGCCAGTCTATCTCGTAAATTTCTTAACTCAAAAGGAAAGAGCTTCGCATTCTAACTGCCGCTCTGACGGGTCATGGTCCACATAATAAACACCTTTTCAATCTTGGTATCACGGACAGCCCTCTATGCAGAGCATGCGTGGAGGGTAAGGAAACCGCCGCGCACATCCTACTGCAATGCTCCGGCGTGGCCAACAACAGGGCAAAATACCTTGGAGTGCCGAGGTCGCTCCTTCTTCTGAGAAGTCTTTGAAAAACCCAGAAGGGTGCTAAGATTTTTGGATGATCTTGGGTGGCACAACCCTGCACCCTGCACCCACTACACGCAAAATAGGTGCTTGGACGTCGAGTTTCGGACAACGGCCCGTTATACCATACCACACCATACCATACCATACCACACCATACCATACCATACCCTAGACCCGCATGATAAAAATATTAAAAATACCGCCTACTTTAGCTGCACATTATATTACTACTTATGAACAAGAATGATGAAAAAAAATTATTCAACTTTCCTTCACAAAATAGGTTAATATAATAATTCGAAAATAAAATATTTTTTCATACAAGTATTTTATTTTCGTTTTTTAACTAGAGTCCCGTCTAGTAAATCTCTGCGATACCAAACCATATCTTCAATGGTTTACAGTCGCCAAGGGACTGTATTAGAAGGGTGAGCTCTGTAATAATATAATAATAACGCACACACTCAACATAGCCCCGCACTAGGGAAACCCTGTGTCGCGGGTGCCATGGACACACATAGACAACCACAAATTACACCCAAACTCACGAGAGAAATAAATGTAGGCCATACAAATATTTCTCCCGGCCCGGGAATCGAACCTGGGACCTCTGCGTGGCAGTCCGGCATGGTAACCGTTCGGCCACAGAGGCAGTTATACATTTACATATTAATACATTTACATATTATACATACATAATACACATACATAGTAATACATTTCTAATGCGTCGTCACAACCGCGCATTACGTTTTGTTGTAGTTGGGTATATTATTTTATCGCAATACAACTACGCCGTTTTGCCGGTACCGTCGTCTATGGTATCTTTACGTTTTTTCTTTTTAAGTGCAACTTTTCCCAAGCGCACCTATACCTTTTCAGCACAAGTATCTTTGAGTTTACAGGATTTATAGTCGGTAGTGACATGGTATGGAAAATTGTGGAGCACTACCCGCGCCGCAGTCACAAAACATTCTGTACAAATATTTTTACAATACTATTAAAACGTAAACTCATGATAGAAAAACCATAGAAAAACCAGTGCCTACACTTTGGATTTTGCAATGACATAATTGTTACTAGTGACCTCGTGACAATTTTTACACAAAATTGTTAAATATTTTTCAGGATGGCTAAAGACACCTGTAAACTCAGTTCAACAATAAAATTTCCACAATTCCACAAAAATGGTACCTACTAAATTTCCAAATAGTAGTAGAAGCATATTTCAGTTGGTCGCCGTACTCGTGTTAACAAATAAAATATATATATAAACAAAAAAGTATATTTTTTTTATAAAATATATATAAAAACAAAGACCTGCAACAAGCACATAGAAAAATTCGTAAGGTCTGCTGGTACGTTCTGTAGCTCATTTAGGAGAGCGTCAGACACCGTATGCTGAGGATTTTTTCTTAATATTCGATCTTTGTATCAATAGTAATTAAAATAAAATATATTTGGTCCACCGGTGGTTTTAACAATGAGAGTCAATTTTTTTTCTGAAATATCAATTTTACTCTTTTCTGCTAGATATATTCATATGTATACATACATATAATTGAAATTAGTATTCAGGATATATCGCGCTAGTTTAGTTATTAGATAAAATATGGAGGCTAATGTTGCTACGAATAGTACATTCGACCTCTAGCCGAATACCGAATGTACGGACAGGAGCGTGGTCGAACTGCCGAATATTCAGCCGGATTAACGTATATGCGTACAAAAATTGACTCGCAAAACCTTTTTATGGCAAAGATCGCGCAGTCTGCTCTCTTAATGGTGACAGTCACTACACTTCGCTAAAGGCGTTAATTCTGGACTAGTTTTCATTTGAATTGTTACCTTTTCCAGTACTTAGGTTTTCGCGATTGTTACACGTAGGAAATGAAACCTTTTTCCTAGTTGTTAAGTACCTTTTTTTTAATGTCTTACAAAAATAGTATCTTTGTTTATTTCCTTTGATCGCTTAGATTAATAAGCGAAAAATTGCGCTTTGTCGAACTTAAAAAAAATGTGTGTTCACCATCAATAAACTTCCAGCATAATATGTTTATTTTTTATTTCTTTCCTCTGTTTTCAGGTATTCGGTACTCGGCCTAATAGTGATTAAATATTAGGTATTTGGCTGAATAGCAAAAACTCGGTCGAAGAGGCCAAATACCGAATGGTAACAGAATATTCATTGCAACTCTAATAGAGACATCTTAATTGATCAATACCGCCTATGAACTGAGGGAAGTCGGAAACTATTTTCGTCTGCTACTTATTGTCAATGTCAATATAAACCTAATTACTTACAGTTTCTCTTCGAGTTTATTATCTGGTATGCCGGCGGAGTGTTGGCTCTCTGAATCGATGTCCTTGACCTGAAAACAAGGAAACGACAACGTTACAAACAGTTTCACCGTTTTATTTAGTTAATCGGATAACGTCTACTTCGTCTACAAAACGTCGGCCTTCTGTTAGCAATTTGGATATAGCGCAGTGATGTGGATAATACTATTTGCAGTGATTCTTGGGCAATAAATGAAAAATACATATAATAAAAACTTATCGAACCTAAAGAATTATAAGCTTGACTTTTTAACTGACTTAAAAAAGGAGGAAGTTTGACTGTATTTTTTTTTTGTGTATGTTACGCGATTAATCCGACATTTGTAAACCGATTTCGATGATTCTTTATTATTGGAAAGCTCACTTCAGTAGTGGACCTATTCTAATTTTAAGAAAATATTTTCGCCTCTAAAGATGGCAGGGGATGAATCGGGTTTATTGGATTTTACCTACTTTCCGTTATCCGATTTCAACAAAATTTGTGACGAATAAAGCTAAAGAGGATAAGCAAACTTTTTTAAAATAAGAAAGTTATAATTGTATACAAATAAAGTTACTAAATAAATTTAATGGGAGTATTCCCTCGGAATAAAGCAACTCTCTCCTCTCTTTCCATCGAACTACGCTACGAAAAACTGTTTTTGGATTGTATTCTCCCATCTCAATACTATGCAAATTGGTAGATGAACATAGTGACTGACTTGATATTCACAGTGACTCATCTAGCAGGATACGTTCCGTTATAATGACTCCCAATGAATTAAAAAAATATATGAATGTTTTATTTCCCTTTTTTTGTTACAATTAGTTAATTTATTCAGCAAATACTTTTATACTTGTGTATTTTTTGTAGTAAACCCAATGTTTGAATACATTTTTATTTTACACTTTTGGTTGTTGCTGTTGTTATTAATTGTTGGTAATTTTTGCCTTTTACTTGATGTTAAATCATGTTGCTAATTTTAAAGTTTTTTTACTAATTGCAAGTGGTATTTACCTTATTTTATTATTATATATATGGTATTTTAGTTTGAAGATGTTCCTAGCTTACGTTATTAAAATTGTAATAATGCAATCAGATGTTGGTATTTCTCGAATAAATGCGAACACTGAAATAACCTACCTTACTTGCGGAATATAAATAAAGTAGGTAATAATGCGATAATAAAGTTGTTACGAGTAGATACGTAGTTCCGTTATCCAGTTCTATATTGTTTATTCTAGTCATGATTCATTGTAATACCTCCTCCTTATACACGTAAGATAGGTCACGTAACGAATACAACCATGAATCTTTGATGTCTTTTTCTCACCACAGTCATAAGGTATAATTTTTTATATAAAGGTATACTTACTTACTGTATTTTCGCGCATTAAGAAATACATAAGTAAATACATGCAAAATTGTTGTTGTTTTTTTTTTTGGTAGACCATTGATGAGTCAATTTCATGAAAGAGGAAGCTATATTCAACGTAACTTCATAATTTCAACGGTACAAGCACCTTTTGTTGTTTACTTTTACCGTAAATTAATATATTGCAGTATCTACGCAAATTACCACCTGTGAAAGAAAATATGCAAGTGCAATTTTTCTTTGAATGACGCAGGAATCTGCGGTTTTATACTTTATTATTATTATTATTATTTTTAGTATACTTTAGTCTAGTTTTATAGCAGGTACAGATGGGAACACATAACGCTACATATTAAGGATCTTGTTCCGTTTTGCACTGGAAGCGATATTCAAACAAAAGTGTACGTATAGCTTGATGAGCTGTTGACTGTACGTAGTAATTGGAATAACGGCAGTCTTTGCAGTTTACAGTCAAGAGCACGTCAAACTCGGCACTTACAATTCTTATCGTAGGCGGTATACAGTTGAATTTTGACTCTTGACCTTGTTACCTCTTACCTTTAACTTTTGGCAGAAAAAAGGGAGTTATGAACTTTTTGTTTGAGACTTGATGGTTTTTTTTTTGATAAAAATTTTGCGCGCATTTGACCTATATTTCACCCAATAGAAAGTGACGATGAGGTCGATGATGAGCCATGCACACCTAAATAATGCCTATTCACTCCCGCCTTGAAAAGGCCCAAGTTAAAGAGTTCCGACAAGAAGTTTGCAGGCAAGGAATTCCATTCCAGGTTCATCATTTAGCTGTATTAACAATAAGTTTAGTTTAGCAAGTCCCAACGATCCTCATATCTCTTTGTAGTTAGCTAAAAATGCTTTAAAATAGTTTAGAGTCGATTCCGCATAACACTAGTGTCGAATCAATCACTGTGGAAAAAAGATATAGTATAAATTTGAGGATATACATCTACAGATATACTGATTACTATTATACGGTGTGAAAACACGATTCCTAAAAATTTTCACGATAGAAAATAAAAACCAATTTCGCAAGAAAACCGCAGTACTTATTCAATAGGTATTTTACATATACCAATGATTTTTTTATATCAATTGAATGAAATAAGTAGAACACTTATGTATAATAAACGATATACCTACATTTTTCAACTGGCTTTCATTTCGTTTGTAAAAAAATAAATTCTGAAATAAAGCCAGTATCTCTGAAGCTCCACTCGCGCAATAGAATCGATTCAGTACGGGAAAAAAATGAATTCGAGCTGAGGTAGTATCGACTCTTAATATATACAATAACATATGTATTTAATTTGTTATAAATAGTGTCGAAAGCTAAATACTAGAGTAGGCACTAAGTGAAGTAAATCTCAAAAGATTTTTACATGATAATCTACTCTCTAAATTATTAGGGGTTAAAGTATGAAATTGCCGTTTTATTGCAATAGGTTCTTTGAATTTTCATAGAATCTTCATGGTTTGAGGTTTTCGAATGAAACTTTTTTCAAATGGTTTCTGTGATTTTTTTTTTTAAATTTGAAACATTTGAATATCGACTTTCAATTGTTTTTGTTATTCAATTTAGACAAGAAAGATGGACTGCGAAAATTCGAGTGATTTTTGAATACCAGTTCCGACGCGGAACTAACGCGGCAGAAACAGCCCGCAATATCAATGCTGCGTTTGGAGAGGGGTCTACTAATGAACGCACCGTGCGATTTTGGTTTAAACGCTTTCGTGATGGAAATTTCGATTTAAAGAACGAGCCACGAGGAAGACCGCCCACACAGGTGAATAACGATGAATTAAGAGAGATAGTGGAAGCCGATCCTAGTCAAACTACCCAGGAATTAGCGGCATGGTTTAACGTTACCTTACCCACAATATTGACTCACTTGCGTCAAATCAATAAAATAAAAAAAAACGAAAAATGGGTGCCTCATGATTTGACTGATCTGCAGAAAGAAACGCGTGTTGAAACTTGTGTTGCCTTGTTGAATCGGTACAGAAATGAAGGAATATTGGATCGAATTGTAACATGTGATGATAAGTGGATTCTTTATGATAACCGGAAAAGAAAAATGCAATGCCTGCCCTCAGGTCAAATGCCAAAACAGTGTCCTAAAGCAAAACTTACCAATAAAAAGGTAATGGTAACTGTTTGGTGGTCTCTGCATGGTGTTATTCACTATAGTTTTCTCCGATCTGGTCAAGCAATAACGGCAGATGTCTATTGTGCCGAACTCCGAACCATGTTGACAAAACTAGCAGTAAAACAGCCCCGACTCATGAATCGATCTTCACCATTATTGCTCCACGACAACGCGAGACCTCACACAGCACGAGAAACCATTTTGACCCTTCAGGAACTGCAGTTAGAAACCATTCGTCATCCTCCGTATTCACCAGACCTTGCTCCAACGGACTACCATTTTTTTCGTGATTTGGACAATTATCTACGTGACAAGAAGTTTTCTTCCCAGGAGGCAGTACAAAATGCTTTCACACAGTTTGTGCAGTCTAGATCGTCGGAGTTCTATCGCAAAGGCATTAATAACCTTCCCATTAGATGGCAGCAATGTATAGATAATAATGGCAACTATTTTGATTAAATAAATTTGTTAAAAATTTAAATAATAAACAATTTAGATTTTCAGTACAAATCGGCAATTTCATACTTTAACCCCTATTATTATCTGACCAAACGGGTGTAATTTACATTTAAGGAAACTACATTTCGAATGGATGCGATATTGAGGTAATTGCTGAAATGAATTACCTATCGCGACTGTTCCGACTCATATTACGGGAATGTAAATTACAAGTGTTAACTTACTTTCATATCTGGTAATTATGCGCGAGATATAATCTAAAAATCCGAAGGAAATCCACTTTTTTGTGATGCCTTCCTCACTATGATGTGTGTAATAAAATATTAGTGATAGGAAATCGGGCTATAGTTTATTAGCGATCGAGAAGTAGGTATTTAGAGTTTTGAACAGACTTCTAAAGAGAAGGGGGTTCTCAATTCGATTGTATTTTGTGTGTGTGTGTGTGTGTGTTATGCGATTACTCCGACATTTGCGAACCGATTTCGATGGTTCTTTTTGGTTGGAAAGCGGGATTTTTTTATAGTACCTTTTTTTTCGACGAACAAGTCGTGTGCCAGATGGTAAGCTATACGCCTGTCCATAACAGTTGCAGTGTCACTCAGAGCTTCAAATCGCAATGATCTGAGGGGCACTGCCACTACACCTGTCACGTAAGTGACACCTAACCTGAGACGTAAGTTGACAAGTCCCATGTGTCTGTAATTTCACCAGCACTCTTACTCTTCAAAATTGGATCTCAGTAATGCCCACATCACTGCTTGGCGGCAGAAATAGGTAAGATGGCAGTGCTTCTCTGGATAATTGGAAATTTTAATAAAACATGGCACATATGTGTCATTCCAATGACAATAAAATATTGACTTGGTGACCTGCGAAATAAAATACCGAAAGGATATCCTAGAGCTGATCTGGATAATGGATTTTGCCACTCTGGGGCACTGCAATAGCACACATTAAACTGAGACATAAGTTGAATGTCTCAATGTGCCTGTAATTTTACCCGCCTCCTTACCCTTCAAAACCGGAACGCGATAAAGCTCACATTAAAAC